CTCCTCCTCCTCTAATCCTCCTCCTCTCCTCCTCCTCCTCCTCCTCCTCCTCCTCCTCCTCCTCCTCCTCTTCCTCCTCCTCCTCCTCCCCCTCCTCCCCCTTCTCCTCCTCCTGGTCCTTGCGGCCAGAGATAGTGGCCGATGACCGCTGACCTCTCCGGGGTCGCGGCGGTGTGCCAGCAGAGCTGCGGCAGGCATGTGGTGGCGCCCGGCCCCGCGGCTATTCTGCGGTGGATCCCGGGCCACTGCGGGTGCCATCATTTGTCGGGGTGGCCAAGAGGGGGGCGATGATCTACTATGGGGGGTATGCGGGGGGGATACTATGGATAATCTTTCGTCGGCGACGGTTCGCACAGCCCAAACGCTGCGCTGCAATCTCGGTCAAGAGTTGAAGCTTTAACTGCTGATCCGACCTGGTCGGAATCTTCGACCGGGGCCCCTTTCCGGGGCGGCCAAGACGGGGTGGAGATTGGGGGTGATGGGGGGGGCTTATCGCGGCGGGGGCCATGAGATCTCCCCAGATTGCATGGCGACCCGTCTTGTTTCAAGACTTCCCCGGCCCCTTTTCCTGGGCCGCGCACGTGCCGCCGGCCATGACCCCCCCCCCCCGTGGGCGCCCCCCTCTTCCTGGGCGCCCCCGACGTCTGAGAGTGGCGCGCCCCCTCTCCTCCGGGCTTTGGCCTTCCTCGAGCAGGTCGCGGGGATCACGGGACAGGTGGTCCACAGGAGTCTTCAGAGAGACTGTGTCAGAGCCCCCGATCGACGACAACGTTGGCCACGCGCTGCGCTTTACGCGAGCGGTAAAACGGCGGGCGACAGGAGTGGCGCAGCACTGCCTCCGCGCATGCCCGCGACTTGGCACCTTGGCCCCTGCGCCGCTCGAGCTGGCCAGCGCGCCCGGCCAGCAGCTGCAGCCGCGCCGACAGCGCGCCGTGGATTGGCGCGAGTCCGCCCTGGATCATCGAGCACAAAAGAACCTTCTTACCTTAATATCACGATGAAGTCGCGGCCTCACTGAGGCCCCCGTTTTCGCATTAGGGATGATAGCTCTGGGCGGTTTGGTGTGATGCGTCTGCTGAGAAAGCCCGCCTGCCCCTAATGTGTTCGGCCCTCCGATCTTGCGCCCCCCCCCCCCCCACAAGGGTTTCTGGGTTTTTGCGGTTAATCGTTGGGGGGGGGGCTCTGGGCCCGACAGGCGCAGCAGGGGGGGCTGACTGAGCATGCGCTGGGCGCTCGTCGCAGCCGCATTCGCGCCAAGCGCCGGCGTGGCGGCGCCGTGCGGAGAGATCCTCATCGAGCACCAGGAGATGGCGAACGCTTTCAGACGGCACTGGCAGGACATCTTTGCGCAGCGCCTGGTGAATGAGCGGCTCCTGGAGCAATGGGCGCGGGACGACGTGCCGTCGCAGGCGCCGCCGCCCGACGCCGACGCCCAGGCCCTCCGGGGCTCGCACGCGCAGAAGGCATCGGAGCAGTCTCCGAGTTCGGCTCCGTGTCCAGATGGGCTCTCGTTCGCGGCGTGACGCCGCCTCGGCTGGTTGGCCGCCCACGTCGTCTGAAACGCGCTCCAGGCGATCACGGCGGAGGCAGATCCAGGGTGCCTCGAGGAGTTCATTGCCACCTTCAGCAGCAGCCTCATGGCCTTCCTGCCAAAGATTAAGTCGGGCATCTCCCCATACAGGAGGAGTATTCCGTAATGGCAGAAACCAAGTCTCGTGATTATCGTGCTCCGTCGACGATTGTCGCATATGTTTGGGTTATCGTTTGATTATTTATCACCGAAAATCCACTTGCAGGAGGACATGCCCGACCTAACCCAAAGGCGCGGGCCCCGCCCACCAAGGGCTGACAGTCCCCGGGCTGGCGGACGCTCGCCTTCTCAACGTTGCCTGCCGCGGCGACCGCGTGCCGGCGAACGCTGCGCGGATTTGCGCGGAGGGTTTTCAGTTTTGCGGAGGCGGTCTCCGCGGACCAGCGGGGCTTGATTCCAGGGTGGT